CAGAATATTAGATTAAAAGCATTTTTATTGTTTCTATATTATATGATTCAATGCACTTTCTTGCTCCACAGACTATATATTTAGAAATTTTCACAAAGGAAATATTGTACAGAAAATTTAGCAGTATTAATACAGAGCTTTTAGGCATATAATGTAAAGAACTATGCTATGCCTAAATTATTTATACTTGAGTTTTAAATGAATTATGAGAGTCTTAAATTGGTTTTAGTCTAATAATTATATTGAGATTATATTCTATTAGAACCTATGATTGACCATGGGAAGAGGCAATCCCAAAGGGAAAGCCAATAAATTAGCTAGTTCATGGAGTGGATAATCATCACATGTGCACAATTAAATGCTACTTATATTTTCTTATGAAAAGATAAAACTAGCTACAAAAACAACAGTTATTGATAGATCCACTACAATTTTTCCTTAGCAGGGTGTAGGGTATTTTCCCATAAGTTCTCCATAATCCTTTAGAGTAATATATTTGATTTAAATATTTCACCTGCAGATGAAAAGCACATAACCAATCAATAACCAGGAAGTTAAATCACGAATTCAGGAGTAGCAATTTATTATTGTTTTACTGAAAGATTTTTGCATGAATACTCATCCATTGTATGATGTTGCCAATACCACAACATTTTAATTATCGAAATTTTACTATTCATTCCTATATTCATAAACAATTGTTAAAATCTTCATTAACTAATTTGCAGAGTAAATTCAAGGCAAAATCGTGAAGGTAAATGCAAACTTCAGGCCTCCAGGCTCTTTAATCGTTTTGCTTTCAACTTAAGTTCAGTCCATCCATTAGTCCTTCCCAAGGTTCATTCTTCAGTGAGCTTTGCCATCCTATCTATTTTCAAAGGCATCACTTAAAGTATCAAGTGACAATAAAATTTGAAATTAATGTTTTCAACAACTTTCAATGAAAACTTTGGCCAATTACCTGACACAACAAAAAAAATTGCAAGTTTCCTACTAAATGACAAACTAAATTTGAGAGTCCAGCTAATGTGTATCGGTATCAAAAATACTAGTTTCATGTAGAGAAGGAAGAAATACCCTGATTGATTGCTCCATCCCCAAACCCCATGGGATGGAGGAGTGAAAGTTTCCCGAAAGAAAGGGTCACTAAAAAAGGAAGGGATGCAGGACATCAAAAATAACAGAAGTCTACTATATCTGCTTTACTATACATTACCTCATGGATATCTTTTGATGTAGTTTAATATTCTTACACACCTGGTTTTTATAGTTAGCTAATATTCTATTATATGGACATGTCATACTCAATTTAACCAGTCCCCTGTGATTAGACATATTTTTTTTTTTTTTTTACTTCTGTGCCCCCAGTACTCAGAATAAACCCTGGCACACAGCAGGTACTTAATAAATACTTGTTACATTTTTTAAATTACAAACTTTAAGATTCAATGGAAGAAGGGATACCCAGAGAAATTTCCAATGTACTTGATTTTTTTCTTTCTTTTCTCCAATTTGACATCAGGACCCCAGCTGTTACATTCCAGATAAACAAAATTCCTCGACTATTCACAGACTACAGAATAAAAGACTTTTAAAATAAATGTCGAAACTGTAATAGTGTACAGAAAATTGGCCTATTTATCCTGATTATTGAGGTTATTCAACAGACTGATTTTAGCTAACAAGTTCAAGGATATTAATGCCTGAAGACATTGATAAATTGTCTCTCCAGGCCTTGACTTTCAAAGAAAAAGACTTATCTTCTGCCACTACCCAAAATAAAGGGGTAGAAGGACACAGTCAACAAAGTCGAGAGGACCTGCATTAATAAGAGCAGTTTTACTTTGCAAAATATTATAAAATTTACTGAGCCAAAAATTCCACTGTGCAGAAAGTCAAATTCTTAGATACTTAAAGATAACTTACCCTCAAGAATGAAAAAAAGGGCAAATAGATTATCCTTCTTTAAATTACAGCCTTGGTTTTTCTGCAGGGCACGCCAGCCCCAATGCCAGTTGTGCTATAGATCCCATGTTTCTATCCAGATAATAACATAAGTTATCACTAACCTCCAGCTTACTCAAAATCTAGGTTATATTGAAATGAGGTCAGAAATAAACAGCTAAATTATTTCAGGACTTGAGATGAGAAGCTATAAGCCAGTTTCCAACTTTTCTGTTTGCTAATCTCAGCATACTTGTCATAAAATTTTACAAGTGTTGTAAAATTTTGTCTGGCAGGGTGGAACAACTAGCTGAATAATGTTTGGTTATCACAAGCATCAGG